ACTAAAAATGCTATCGACCCGCGCTTTCCTAAGGAACAGGAAGAAGATATTAATAAATATTGGCGAAGATTTGAGTATGGGAATGCCACAAAAGCGATGAATAATGACGTGACATCAAATTACAGATTTTAGGAAATACCATGACCGTAAAAATCCATAATGAAGAATTCAAATTGCTAAACATCAAGATAGCAAACATAATCATTTCAAATGAACAAGTTATAGAGTAATTAAACAATGTTAGCGAAGCATAAAACGTCAAAGAAGCTTGTTTATATCACCCAGTTATAAAACCGCATAATAATAAAACCTTATTGACAAAATCCCAGTTGATAAACACAAAGAATAGCATACTTGCTGGCCAGCACAGGCTCCCAGAGCACAATATGATGTGATAACTGCAACCAATTTTGAAAGCTTGCGAGCAAGGTGACCTAGGCTAAACTTGACTATACTTAAGCCATCCGAAGTATTTGCAATGGCATTGAGAGTTTCGAAAGACCGCTGCAATATCTCCCGAAAGAGCCATAGCTCCTTTTCAATGCAGCCAAAATTAGGCTTATTGTAGTGTCTTCGATGATGAAGTACTCGGAAGCACGTTGTAAGAACCTAAAACGGAAAAATACAAGTACAATAAAAATATGCACAATCAAAAACATTATGAACATTAAGTAGAGTTAATAGGCATACTTGAGTGAGCCGGACACAACTTTGAGTATTGGCCTGATGAGACATAACAGCTTGCCATTGGGTTAAAAGCTGGGGCATTATGAGTTCTTCTATCACTTTTGCTAATTGCTTACGACGCAACGCAAGGCAGAAACTTGATGCGGCACGGAGGCATCGATGAAGCGTCAAATAAGCACACCAATCAGAGGCCATATATTTCCAAGCTTCATCAGGCCACTGACCTTTAGGCCACTCAGCTTTGACGAGGCGTGAAATTAAATCTGTGACACATGCGCTGAGTCGAGGAACAAGCTCAACTCTATTGCAAAAGCGTTCAGAATCGGAACCACGAGAAAGATAATCCAAAAGTAATGACTTTATCGTAGCTCTTTGGTCTGTGTCAAGGCTAGTCCATACTTTAGACTCAGAAATAGTATTTTTTAGATAAATGAACCCGATAAGTCTGCCATCAAGAGAGAGGTCAGAACCACCTTGAAGTTGATCATCAAAACTACCAGAGACCAAGACTCGAGTAAGACGAGAGTAAAACTGTGAAATACATTGGTCGGAAGATGCATCTGCAGACGATGCTGCTTCGGTAAGGCGCATGAGTTGCTGACTAGCAGGCATCATAATCTGAAGATCTTGACTCGATGCAGCATTTAGAAGGGTTATGAGTTCTTGGTCCATGTTGCCAATAAAAAATAATAACACAAAAATAGTCGTTATTTGCTTTAAATATTATATAAAATCAAGAAGCAAATTCACATAGCAAGAAAGGCACCTGAGCCTAGAGGAAGGAGATGACGGTTGAAAAGTAGGGCAAAAATATTCAAGTAAAGATAATAGGTAGGCTTTAAAAATTAATTAAAACTGTAATTTGCAATTCTACTTAACAATTTAATTTAAATGAGCTAAATTAAATTGATATATAGAGAAAAATTGCCCATTATGACCATATGCTTAAATATATAATAGTATTGTGTGATTTCATTTATTTCCAGAGAGTAAAAGTATCATGAGATGTATTCACCCAATTTCGTTTAGGGTGATGAAGGACTAAAAGAAGAATTTTCCCACAATGATATGAGTAGAGCTCACGTTTCGATTGAATTTCACATAGCCATGCTTTCCCAAAAGTTGTTATCATCCAGAGTGGATTGCAGTTTCGACCTCGCATCGGTCTTACCGCGGGAGTCAAACTGTGACAATGCAGCATGTGAGCTTGACACGTTAACCGTTTGGGGGTGTTGATAAGACTGATGCGAGGTCGAAACTGCAGTCCACACTGCATGAGAACAACTTTTTGGAAAACAAGGCTATGCAGAATTTAATTGAAACGTCAACTCTACTCATATCATTGTGTGAAAATTCTTTTACCAGTCTTTCATCACCTTAATTAACTTGGGTGAATACATCTCATATTACCTATTTACTGGTAGTCTCGAAACATTACTTAAATGCGAAAAATAACATGAATCAGTTTATGCAAACCTATAGGCTCTTAATCACTTTTCTGCAACTTTAACGGAATACTTTTAAAAATCTATCCATTTAAATTTTGCTAGAACGTTAATTTATGGGTCTGCTTTGTG